TTCAACATTACAGTATAATTGAGAGCTATCAATTTTAACATTTATTAGACTTTAAAAAATAACTTCTAATTTAAGTAAACTTAAAACAATCTTCACATAAGCCCATTATAATGGATGTCATATTTACCTGTTCCCATTCAGCAAGTAGGAAATGTACAGAAATTGAATAAAGTTATCAAACACTAAATTCTAAATTAAATATACAAACCCAATTCCAAAATAGTTGGGACACTGTACAAATTGTGAATAAAGACAGAATGCAATGATGTGGAAGTTTCAAATTTCAATGTTTTATTCAGAATACAACATAGATGACATATCAAATGTTTAAACTGAGAAAATGTATGGAAAATAAGTTGATTTTAAATTTCATGGCATCAGCACATCTCAAAAAAGTTGGGACAAGGCCATGTTTACCACTGTGTGGCATCCCCTCTTCTTTTTATAACAGTCTGCAAACGTCTGGGGACTGAGGAGACAAGTTGCTCAAGTTTAGGAATAGGAATGTTGTCCCATTCTTGTCTAATACAGGCTTCTAGTTGCTCAACTGTCTTAGGTCTTCTTTGTCGCATCTTCCTCTTTATGATGCGCCAAATGTTTTCTATGGGTGAAAGATCTGGACTGCAGGCTGATCATTTCAGTACCCGGATCCTTCTTCTACGCAGCCATGATGTTGTAATTGATGCAGTATGTGGTCTGGCATTGTCATGTTGGAAAATGCAAGGTCTTCCCTGAAAGAGACGACGTCTGGATGGGAGCATATGTTGTTCTAGAACTTGGATATACCTTTCAGCATTGATGGTGCCTTTCCAGATGTGTAAGCTGCCCATGCCACACGCACTCATGCAACCCCATACCATCAGAGATGCAGGCTTCTGAACTGAGCGCTGATAACAGCTTGGGTTGTCCTTGTCCTCTTTAGTCCGGATGACATGGCGTCCCAGTTTTCCAAAAAGAACTTCAAATTTTGATTAGTCTGACCACAGAACAGTTTTCTACTTTGCCACAGTCTATTTTAAATGAGCCTTGGCCCAGAGAAAACGCCTGTGCTTCTGGATCATGTTTAGATATGGCTTCTTTTTTGACCTATAGAGTTTTAGCCGGCAACGGCGAATGGCACGGTGGATTGTGTTCACCGACATTGTTTTCTGGAAGTATTCCTGAGCCCATGTTGTGATTTCCATTACAGTAGCATTCCTGTATGTGATGCAGTGCCGTCTAAGGGCCCGAAGATCATGGGCATCCAGTATGGTTTTCCGGCCTTGACCCTTACGCACAGAGATTGTTCCAGATTCTCTGAATCTTTGGATGATATTATGCACTGTAGATGATGATAACTTCAAACTCTTTGCAATTTTTCTCTGAGAAACTCTTTTCTGATATTGCTCCACTATTTTTCGCCGCAGCATTGGGGGAATTGGTGATCCTCTGCCCATCTTGACTTCTGAGAGACACTGCCACTCTGAGAGGCTCTTTTTATACCCAATCATGTTGCCAATTGACCTAATAAGTTGCAAATTGGTCCTCCAGCTGTTCCTTATATGTACATTTAACTTTTCCGGCCTCTTATTGCTACCTGTCCCAACTTTTTTGGAATGTATAGCTCTCATGAAATCCAAAATGAGCCAATATTTGGCATGACATTTCAAAATGTCTCACTTTCAACATTTGATATGTTATCTATATTCTATTGTGAATAAAATATAAGTTTATGAGATTTGTAAATTATTCCATTCCTTTTTTACTCACAATTTGTACAGTGTCCCAACTTTTTTGGAATTGGGTTTGTATATAAAATAAAATGTTCTATGTCTATAAAATTTTCACAACAAACTGGAAATGTGTTAGTCAAAAGGTGTGGAGCTCTTGTTGTGCCACTCCACCTTGACCTGGTATATGAACAAATGACTGCTTTTTAGTTCTTTTTTTTTTATAACCCGTTGCAAAAACAAAAACGCATAATGTGAATCATAGCACTCAGATTTTCCAGAAGTTTCAATGGGGTGGACGTTGTGGGATTTGAATCTAGGAGGTAGTTTCTTAGTAAAAGACAGCTGCTTTCCCGACACCAGAAGTTTATGACCCCGCAAAAGCAACACTGAACTCATGGTGACCTCAGATGTGATAACTCATGCGAAAATACACCAAGTATGAACAAATACTCGGGTTTCAGTGCCCCCTCCCCACTCATTTTCACTATTATTATGCTGGAAATGGAGGCAGTGCGTGTTTGTGAAAGTGTGAGAGAGGGCATAGAGCCCTCTTGTCATGCTTGTTTTTACGTTCGGCAGCTTATTGGAAACTCTTATCAACCTTTGTGGAAATTACCGTGTTTTGATTGGCGGGATGGCTTTCTTGCGGCGGTGATCGTTTGCCCTGTCTAACCCTTGACTGCTATTGAGACTCACTGGCTGTCAACATTAGTCTTTTCCCCCCTATAATGTTCCTTTCATTTTTATAGATTGATTTCTTTGATTATAAATGTAATAGCATTTGATTGTCATTGATTTAATGTGCAATAACATTTTATTGTCAATTTGTCAAGTTAGCATTGTGTGTTTATAGACTGCAACATTCATTTTTTTTTCTTTCATTGTGTTCTTTCCTATTACTGCCGGAATCCTATTTAGCTCCCAGATGAACTGATAACAGATATTGAAATCCTGATTATGATATTATATCTCGTCTCTTTCTCTTTCTGCAGCTGAGCATCTACTAAGAGCAGCCAACGGCAGTCGTCCCGCTTCAGCTCTTCAGAGAGTCTCAAGCATGGACACATCAAAGACTATCACAGGTGAAGCTTAGACCTATTTCAAATTAAACTAATATAGATGCTATGCTTAGTATAAACACTCAACTAATGCACTCATATAGTCAGTGCTGTAATGTTTTATTCATACATACATTTTTTTTTTTTTTTTGAAAGACGTTAACTTTTATCCAGCAATAATGCATTAAGTGGATCAAAAGTGAAAGTAAACACATTTTATAATGTCACAAAAGATGACAAAAATATTAAGCAGCACAGCTGTTTTAAAAATAATAATAATATGATCATAATAGGAAATGTTTCTTGAGCAGCAAATTATCATATTAGAATGATTTCCGAAGGATTATGTGACACTGAAGACTGGAGTAATGATGCTGAAAATACAGCTTTGCCATCATAGGAATAAAATACATTTTAAATTGTAATAATATTTCACAGTATTACAGATTTTACTGTATTTTTGATCAAATAAATGAGAAAAACATTACAGACTCCAAACTTTTGGACAGATGTGTACATTCGTTGCAAACATTTGCTCTGACAACAATCCAGTTACATTACATTTTTTTTATAAATGGTGAAATGTAGCGTAAAAATCTGAAATTTGGTCATAGTTTGATTCAATTTAAATATTTTGGCACTATTTGTACTTGTTTTCATATTTTGAAGACAATAATGTAACTGGAAAGAATGCATCCATGCAGGAAACACTTTGCAACTTATACTTTGTTGCATTGTTATAGTAAATCTAATCAGTCATTACATTTCATAATTGATGCACGTGACTTTTAATGTCTTTTTAAGACAGAGATTAATTTTATTATTTTTCTGTTAATGTAAACCAAAAGAACAGGACTACTGTTACCCAAAAGATAATTTAAACTTTTTCTCTCTCCTCTGTTTAGTGTCTAGAAGAAGCAGCGAAGAGGCGAAGAGGGATATCAGTGCTCCTGATGGAGGCCCAGCTTCCTCTCTGATGGCCATGGGTTCTGCTGCACCTCCTCTCTCCCTGTCGTCTTCCTCTTCCCCCACAGCCTCTGTCAACCCCACAGCACGCAGCCGCCTTCGGTACGCACCTGCCCGATAACTCACTGTAACCCACACACATGCTGTATCATAAACAATTTTATTTGATTCTCATATAAATGTCACTGATATCAATGAACATATCCCTTGACCACTTATTCCATGATATGAATCTAAAATGCTGGAATGCTTCTTCTGTGTTGATAATAACATGGTTGCTAATTTTTTTGGTTTGTTTTTCTGTGTAGGGAGGAGCGAAAAGACCCGCTGTCAGCTTTGGCTCGTGAATATGGTGGTTCTAAAAGAAATGCACTGCTGAGGTGGTGTCAGAAGAAATCAGAGGGTTATCAGGTTTGTATTATGACATGTAAAATAGAAGCAGAATATTATATTATATTATATTATATTTTGTTATATATATATTTTTTATCTGATATTTATATTTAAAAACTTATATTAAAAATATATACTTAGATTTACTTATATACTTATATGTATATGATATTTAACTGTTAATGTATATTAATTTATATAATTAATCTATACTTTAAAAAGCACATTGCTAGATTACCATTAAGATTCGTTGAAGTTGTTGTGTTCCTCTCTGTCCTCATACTATATTGTAGCTGTTGTCAGTTTCATGTTGGATTTTTTGATAGCTGGGACGGTCTGGATTGAGTTTTATTCTCGCTGAATCTCAGATGTCATCTTTGTCCACAATAGCTGTAATGCTGGCCCATGTCACACCTGTTTATCCATCTTTTTTCCACTTTTCAGATTTCAGTGAAATGCTCTTTCCTACTTCTTAAACGAGGTCTGTCTCTTCTAGAAAAGCTTGTGTGGTTGTCATAGTCACTGTTTATCAAGATCCTCACCAGGAAGTCCGCTGGATTTTTCTGGCACTTTAAATTGCACTTGACGTAAAACAGAGTCGTCAGCAGCACTTCTGAGAACAAACTCATTGAATTTGCATCATAGGGGGATTTTTATTTAGAAAATGACTACATTTTCCTTACACAACATAACACAGCTCAAAATACCCCACAGATCATTTATTATAACAGCTGGAAAATAACATTTTTGGGGTGTATCTAAAAAAAGAGCTGTTTTTGTGTGCATCACTTGAAATGCAAATGAGCGGCATATTCCCGCCCTGTCTCCATCCAGAAGAGGGCGTCACGTAAACATCTCTCTGCATTGCATACCTACTGCAATAAACAGCCGGTAAAAGCAACATGACTGAGAGCGAGAGAACCGGTGTTCAGCCATACATAAGGAATAGCCAAATGCACTGAAAGTGGGACGAAACAGATGTTACAGAGCTTGCGCCGCGCTGACCTGTCATCGGCACGACTCAGTAGACCAAGCCGCGCGATCGTGCTACCGAACAGACAGCATGACCGAACTAATCTCACAAGTGTGCGCTGATCAATTAAAATACTTTGATAACATATGCACACAACTACGGTTACAACGCTAAGCACTATAACGACGTGACATTCACAGCGGAGTCTGGAGTGAAATGATTTGCGCAGACATAAACATTTGAGTGCTGTTGAGTGGATTCTTAAACACCGCTTATTGGACATAGTGTTCACGCGCTCAACAGATATGACTGTGATTGGCTACAATGATCATCGTTTCATGCTCTTCACCGAGCGCTCACACAGAAGCACACAGGAGCGTTTGAAATGTATTAGGGATCTGCTGATAGATGCGGTTTTCCTGTGAGCTTCTGTGTGAGCGCTCGGCGAAGAACATGAAGCGATGATCATTGTAGCCAATCACAGTCATATCTGTGCACTATGCCCACTATTGCACTATGTCCAATCAGCGGTGTTTAAGAATCCACTCAACAGCGCTCAAATGTTAGCGGGAAATGGACGTTTTTAAAATTGCAGTACCGACTGGTACCGAAGTCAGTACTTTTGACAACACTAGTCCAAACACCATGTAAAAGTGGATTTTGCATAATAGGCAGTGGCGGCTCGTGGGTTTTAAAATAGAGCAGGCACACTAATTGTATTGGTCTGGGATCCCTGCCGATTATTATTATTATAATTTGCTTAACTACTTTAAAATGACTTTTTGGTTGCTTTTAGTCAGAAAACGTAAAGAAAACGACATACATACAGCAAGATATTATAATTTCACTTACCTGGCCTATCACTTGAAGCAAACATCCATCCCTTCTTAAAAATCTGTGTTAAAAGAGAGCTGCCAGTTGCGCCATTTAATTAAGCCGACTGCTGTAGCCTATATCCAGTTTAGGCTGTTTTCCCTAAATTTGTATGTATACTGTTTGAATGACAGCTTGGTAAATCTGTTGGCGATCAAATATTCAATATCGCTACTCATCATAAGTACTTGGTACATTATCAGCGCATCGGCAGACGTTCAAACTAATATCACCTAATTTACGTCTCTATGATGTTTGGTTGATATCAGAAGGGAGGCTAGCCTCCGTTACAAGGTTTCTTTTCTCAACACTCCTCAGCGCTGAAAGTGAACACTCGATGGTGATTGGCTAATTTTTTTTACCAACGGAGGCACGAGAGCTCATCTCTCCCCTGGCCTCCCCCTACCCTTCTCTATCATTAGTGGTTGCAATTACATCAGCAGATTCGGCACATTCGCGCTAGAAAAGTGGCGCTTTCACTTTATGGTATTACAACTGTGAAATTACAAACAAAAAATACACATTCTGAGACATGAACTGAAATGAATTGGGAGTCGTCCTCCCATTTTCACCTCAAAATTATGGGGAAGCTGTGCCTCCCCCGACGAGCCACCACTGATAATAGGTGCCCTTTAAGAATCATTTTAAAAGTAGAGTAAACATGAGTTTGTCCTCATGTTTTTGGTTGTTAACCACCAAGTCTTTACCCACATGTGAAACTATGAGCTGTGATCACAACTGATGGTTATCAAAGTGGAACGGAAGAGAAGTGGCTTGATGCTTTGTATTAAATTTAAGCATCAAAATAATGTGGAAACAAAAGAAGCTACTTTATTCCATTCAGCACTAACTACTCGTCCCTAAAGAAGGATGTCTGGGAGGCTGAAGTCTGCCGTTCTGCCAGACATTAAGGTGAAAAGTAGAAGTCAAGACATTGTGGACATTTGTAGAAATGGATCTGAAACATGCTATTTTGCTCTTAAGTGCATAAAAGAGGTTGTGGGCGAAGCTATGAACAGGAAACCTGATTCATTTTACACCACAGGAAGATGAGTAAATTTTGCAAATTGGAGAAATGTTCCATTGAATGTTACCACACTGAATTGCACACATTTCATGACTTAAACCTGGTGTGTCATGTTGAAACCCTTTCTAATCTGGTTTTAAATGTACTGAAGCTTTATTTTCATAATCCTACATTTTTAGTTTTTGGTAGAGTCCAGGAGGCTTATATGAACTCTGTCATGTCTGTTTGTTACACAGAATATCGACATTACCAACTTTAGTAGCAGCTGGAATGATGGACTGGCCTTCTGCGCTGTCCTTCACACATATCTGCCTGCTCATATTCCCTATCAAGAGCTGAACAGTCAAGACAAGGCAAGTACACTACTGATTTCTGCATCATGACCGTGCCATATAGCACTTATTCAGTGGCCCCAAAAAGTATTTGGACACTTGAATGTCATTGCATAAATAAAAAAAAATCAAACCAAGTGGCCAAAAGATTTTTCAAGCCTGAGAGAACAGATCTATGAGAGCTAATCTCATAACTATTTATTTCTGTTTTCAGAGACGAAATTTCACCCTGGCCTTCCAAGCAGCAGAAAGTGTAGGAATCAAGTCCACTCTGGTAAGAGGTTTTGCATTAGCTTGATCACAACAGCTCATTCAGGCCAGCTGATGCAGTAAGTCTGTAGTCTGCACACAAATAGGCATGTTCAGGAGCTCCGGTTTGCACTGGAGCAATGTGCACAAAGACCTAATGCAGATCCGAGGCACTCTATTAATCTTCAAGTTGGAATATTTCTGTCATCCACTCCCATCCTGTAAACTGTCAGCAGGTGAAAAGCTGGAAACACTTCATTATCAGCCAGCGGTGTTTACTTGTAGGTCACTGTATAGAATTATTTCTTCTCTATTGTGAACTACTTAAACAATAAGTTTGGCATGCACATACTGAAAGCACCTCTGAAGCTCTTGAGGATTGAAGCAAGTCATACAAATAAATATTAAAAATCATTGGACATTTCCATGAGGAATATAAATTGTTCATGTTATAGTTTGCCTAAAATTGGATATATAACAAGTGAGTTTTTATAGACATTTGTGAGATCGTAATACACTACAATTCTACATTTTTTAAAAATCTCTTATGCTCACCAAGGCCGCACCTTTTTTTTAATAAAAAATACAGCAAAAAGAGTAATATTGTAAAATATTACTGCAATTTAAAACAACTGTTTTCTATTGTAATATTTTTTTTTTATGATTTATATGATAGCAAAGCTAAAATTTCAGTTTTCAGTGTTACGCAATCTTCCTGAAATCTTTGTAATATGCTGATTTGCTGCTCAAGAAACATTTCCTTTTATTATCGGTGTTGAAATTTTGTCAGACTTTTTTTTAGGACTTGAATGGAAAGCATTTGTTTGAAATGGAAATCAGCTTTTATTCAATTTCTGAATTCCTTGCTGAATAAAAGTGTTCATTCATTCAAAAAAAAAAAAAAAAATCTTACTGGAAATTTGTGAATGGTAGTGTATTAAAATGACAGAATTTTTAGTTAATAAGTGATATTATGCAACACACTTCAATCAAATGCACTTTAATATTAATTTACATTCTCTCTCTTTCTCTTTCAGGACATCAATGACATGGTCCATACAGAAAGACCGGACTGGCAGAGTGTAATGACTTACGTCACCTCTATCTACAAGTATTTTGAGACCTGAGCACATGTACTTTTATAGATTGTACAAATTTCCACCAACTAACCCGAGTGCAACTTCCCACCATATCATCTAAGCCTAATCCTAGCACAAAGTCATATTAAACCCTTCACAAGGACACTTCACTTAACATATGCTGATATGACATCGATACATCAAAGAAAAACCTCTACAGTGGAACCGAATCAGTTTGCCTTGATAATGCTTCAACTCACTGTCGCGTGACTCTAACACTACAGACTACATCTACTAATTTGTGGTGTGGATGATTGAAATCAGTCTTAAGGAACAGCGTGGACCCGCCTGCGACCCCGTGCCTTTTGCCACCCTGAGTTCTTGCTTCCAGACATACGTTTGGAGCAAGTACTTCACCTTAATTCACAGCCGTGGAACTTGTTTTAAAAGAACGAGATGTGTGGATTGCTCAAAGCAGTGCCTAATTGAAACACTTCATTGGAGTAGCACTTCAGTAGAGGAGAATTGTACACTAATAGGAGTTATTCACTATAGCACACAGTCAGTCACTTTTTTTACAGGATTGTTTTGAAAGCCCATCATGGGCACATTAATGTTACAACTGTGATGGATCTTGGCTTGAAATACTACATATTAAATAGGGAGGTCAGCAATAAGCTTATGTAACCCGATGAGCCATTTCATATGACATTAGTGCTGCTCACCAACAGCATGATACTGTAGTAAACGCTATATTCAGATTAGCAGCACATGTGCATGTACTGTCCGGTGTATTAGTCTGAAACAGTATACCAAAAATGAAATCTGTCACAATGTCTTTTTGTTTGCAAGCTAACTTTTTTATGTACTAATCAAATGTTATGTTCTTTCTCAGGATAAGAAAGTCTTATTGATATTTATCAAGATGAATAATCATATGTGATTTTCATGCAGTACTCTACCAGTACCCGCACATTTTATTGTTTGCAAAGCACAAAAATCATTTTACGTGCACTAATTCAAAATGTAAATGAAGCTACATTCCAGTGCATTAATATGGAAGAGTTTCGGTCTGAGTGAGAAAAATCACAGTTGTCACATATATCCTGTTTTCCAGCTGTGCTGAATTCAGGCATCGCTCTCTTTTCATGAGTTTGAAAGACTTTGACGTTTCCCACCTGTCTGCAAATAACACTTTAAAGGTAATACAAGACCTGAAAATAAAAAACAGTAATGATAAAATAGGAATTTTTCATGAATCCATTGAAAAAATGTGAGGTATGGCTCTTATTTTCTAAACCCTTTTGATTCCTTCAATAGGCTATGTAATATTTCCATTCCTCAGGAAGTATTTCACAGTGTTTGAAATAATTCCTATTCAAATTCCAGGGTGTGCAACTAAGCAGCCGTTTTTAGCTCTCAAACATCTGAAAGACAAATCTGCAGTTTCCCTGGTAAGCATTTAAGATTTATTCTAAACTGCATTACTGAGCTACTTTACCTTTGCACCATGATCACATAATAATTAAAAGTAAGTGTCAGATTAATCTTTATATTTCTCCCAAATAAAGCCTGACCAAATGTTTTGTTCATAAGCCGCATATCAGCTTAATTTACTAAACCAGAGACATGTTGAGTTGGACCTGCGTTCTGTATATGTCTGTTTAATGTACTTCATCCAGCTTTCATCACATTAATATGAATGTAATACAGCTCTGTTGCCTTTTAGATTGTTAATTTACACCAGTTTTCTGTTCTTGAATGCTGAACTTTCTTTTGCTGCCATTTGTTTAGGTTTATTATCATTGTGAGAGCATTATCTTAATAAAAAGGGTACAATTATTTCCTTTTTCTAAATAAATGTGAAGAGCAATCAATATGCTCTTCCTCCGAAATGAATCGGTCACCTGGTGTATAAACGTTTTTCTTTGCATTATCATATTTTAATTCTCGCATTTTAGTTCTGCAGCAATTTTTTTTTGGCGTTCACTTTTCAAAGATTGATTTAATTGGTCTATGAATCAGTGAACAGCTTGGATTATATAGAAATAACAAAAATCAGGTTTTAATTAATTCCCAGCCCCTTTCCGGACTGGAAATTCAAGTATTGTAATGCATTGTGGTTACCCTCCCATTTGGCTGGAAGGCTTTTCTAATCTTTGTCCTAAACACATTTAACAGGTCATTTAAAACCAGCAAAAGGTCTGAGGCAAGGAGATGGTGGGTGTTTATGAGTTTAGCTCTTGTTCTTTATTGTTCTGCAGCATGATTAGTACATTTCTAAGATTAGATGTGATGTCAGTCATTACAGAGAGTAAAAAAAGTTGCATTTTGTCCTGAATGAGACAAATTGGCCTGCTTTCCTTCACAGAGCCCTATTGTCTGTACCACGATTGATTTTCTTTAAAGTCACACATGTGAATGGAACCCAGATTGACCTAAATATGTCTGGCTTAACTGTGGGACTTGCTCTCAAGTTGTCCTGAAGACAGGTCATGGACGGGAAAGAAAACAAAATTGCATTCGTACCTTCATTTGTCAATATGAAATTACCTGAGTGATGGATGAACAATTTAAAGCTTCAGAGAAACTGTTATAGACAGTAAGTTTTCCATTTAAATTATTGGTAAATCTTAACAAAACTAATTAAATGGTCAATACAAAATATCCAAAATTATTCAGGAAGCTAATTTGAATACTGTAGGCTACTTATACTAAATTCTGTCTTGTAAGTTTGCTTTCAGTTTAATCACAGAAGAGACCTAGCACTCGCAGCTCAGTTGTTTCCCTGATACTTGATCACAGGAAGAAGCGGTATCAGTATCTTACCAGTCGTCCAGTGTGGAAATGCTGGGCTCCGGCTCTGGATTGGTCAGTCACTAGCTCTCACAGGGGTCCTGTAGTCTGTCAGCTCTCACTGCTGGTGTCGACTTTACCGAATCACACACGCGCCGACGGAGTCATTCACGAATCATCATGAATCTCTGAGGACTTCCAAGTTTTTGTATTTCTTTTTCCGAGGGGTTGCCTTTTCATCTTAATGGGATTCCCAGCTTATTTTGTTTTTCTTATTCAGTCATTCCAGGGGTTATCAACTCTGATGGTAAGTTGAAACCAACAACTAATAAGAATTTTTAGTAGATAGAGCCAGCGAGGTTTCGATTGAATTGAATTTGTTTTATTATATTTCAATTAAACAATTTGTGCACGGCTTAAGTGCATTTTTAATATTGAAGAGAATCATTTAGGTTAAATTGTTTTTAAAAGTTAAAACGCACGTTGTGCCCAGTTTTACAAGCATCAAAATATTTTAGAACGGCCCCAATTACAGACGTGTGATTTAAAAACGGCCTTTAAAAATGACAATATATAGTATTATTGAATTATATAGGCCTATTGTATATTAAATGTAGGCTAAGTTTTCAGCGCTAACTTGCAGTGCCATATACAGTATACTGCAGTGAAACTGCCCTGTATGGCAAGCTAATTTAGCATTTAAAACACTATTTTGTTATAGCCTATACATCTTTTTAAACCAGTATTTTTTTTTCTAGTAAGTAATAGCATATTTTAAAATTTCACCGCTAGTAACTATTCTTTAGATGCTAATACTTATTTCAGTAGTGACTAATATATTTAATTGTTAATTCATACATATCTCTACTTAATTTATTTCTAGTCAGTAGTTACTTGAATCTATTCAAGTTTTATTATAACTTGTTAGAAACTATTAGACAAGATATGTATGTTTATGTATTCCAATTGTTAATAGTGTAATATGTAAATGAACTACACATCACACTGTTTCCTGAAGTACACGGCAAAATCGCCCAAATGTTAACACTCGGCGTCAAACACCAGCAAAGTATCTATGTGTCCTTCCTATGCAGTGTTATATTGTGCTTTTAAATTTGTTAACTTTGTGATGATTCAGCACTCTATATTGTTAAAAGTTAACCATCATTTAACTTTTTTTTTTAGACATTGTATATTTCTGTATATCACTGATATCAACTGGTATAGATGCTAGATACTGTATTCTGGTCTGATAAATAGGTAGTAGTATGAAATAAGTACTAGTAAACCTGCAATAGATAATATTATTATTGGGATAGTTAATTGTTGAAATCTGAACAGCTCCCCAAATAATACAATGACAAAAATGGCAAACATTGCTTAGCAATGGAATAGTTGGTAGTGACTAACATAAAAAAAGTAATGCATGATTACTAGTGAAATCAAAACCAATACTAGTCACTATTTGATAACTGATGCATATTTATAGATACCATTTAGTTTAAATAATGTTAAACCTTTTCCAAGCTTGCCATTGATGTGCAAGTCTTTATAAAGGATTTTCTGTGTAGATGTGTTTGAAGTGTTTCAACAGCTATTTTTTTGTAGATGCCTGTGTAGTTTTATGAATATTTCAGTGGTTCAGCCAAATGGAGTTTGTTTAATTTTTATGATTTTTATATATATATATTTTTTTTTTTTACTTCTGACATTCCTAAAGGGGGTTACAATTCTTGCTGATACTGGAGAGAAAAAAAGTGTAGATTTTTATATCTTAAGGGTTAGTGTTTTGAGTTTAGTTTTTATTTATATTGAAAAAAATTTTATATTAAATGTATTTTCTATATCTGTCTTGAGTCACATTGTGCCCTTAACTTCGTAACAGCAAATAAATCATAGAACGTAAGAATCAAAACAGATTTTCAACTGAAAAATTAAGCATTTTATTATCATTTTTCATTTTATGAGCCTATCAATCAGCCGAGGTAAAAGGAGAGTAAAATGGCTATAAAACCATAATTCACACACAGCTGAAGTACATCTGTTTGTTCTGAGCCGGCCCTGCTGTTTCATCTGCAGTGTTTGAATTGGCTTGCTATCAAACCGTGATATTTTGTGTTTGATTTAGTTAGGGATCAGTATGAGGAATGAAGTGGATTCTGAGCCAGATATAGTTTGAGACTGTGCTAAATGATGGATGAATGTATGATGTTTTCCATCATCCATCCACAAGGGTCCTCTGTTGAGTCTGGTGTTGGCACAGGTTGTCACAATCTGCCTAGTAGCTTAAACATGGTCTTCTTTGTAAACACAAAGCACTGAAACCAGAAGAGTACTTTGGGAAACTGGTCAAAGGGTTCATCCAGTGTTGTGGAGACCCGTTTTTCTGTTGTCCCATTGTCATCCCCTGAACTCTCACAGATCCATATCAATGGCTGTGAGGCTGGGCATCAAGATTGGCTAGTTTACTATGTTTTCTCACCTGTTTGCTACAATCATTTTCACCTCCCCCACTTTCAATTCTTATTTACGACAATCACCTATTCACTTTCAAATTTTTCATTTTTGTTCTTTTTTTTATCAAGGCAGAATCTTGTTTTAAGAAATTAAACCGTGATTGAACACTGTCAGGATGTCAGGAGACATTGTGTTGCAAATACTTTACTGCATGTTAAAGACCCCATGTGGTTTTTAGTCAATGTATATCAGCTTTGAGGTCAACTGTGTAATAATGTGTTCCTAAAAGTTCACAAACACTAATGATAATAATAATAAATCAAATAAAAATTTTTCTCTTTCATAAAAAAACTAAACATTTATGACTTATCGTGTGCAGAGGTGCACCAGATTTTTTATGATTATTTTTAATTTTTTAATTTTTGCCAATAGAATTCACTCTAGAATGACATTATCCCTCCCCCATACTTCGTACCACCTGTAAATGTCTAACAATAGCCATATATAATATATAAATTCTAATTAAAAAATGCCATTAATAATAATTAAAAGGTTTGTATTCTTTTGATTTGTAATGGGCAAATAAATGTTTGAAAAAAGCAATAAATAAATAGAGGTGGATAACCAGAGGTGGATAACCTCGGTGAGCATCTCTGCATCAGTGTGGGAACACTCCAGGGTAAATAGCTCAGACTCCCAGTTAAGGGCTTCTGAATGACTTCCCATAAACAGTCAAACAAAAGGAAAGAGCTTCTGGCCATCACTACGGATGTGTCTGATAAATGTAAGGTCTGAGAAAGAATATCCACTTCAAGTTTCCTTTGTTTTCCCATGTTTTTCAAAGTATTAGCTTGCCATTTGTGTTTACTAGAAAGGGCTTTGCGTCAGGAAAAGCTCAACATTCTGTTATGTTACTTCTGTGCACTCTGTATTGTTTACTTAAAACACCATATTGTTGTCAGTGTCAACAATAACTTAAAACGGTTGACTAATCTCTTTCTTTCCTCAGATCAAACATCAACCTTATTGTCATCAATAATGAAATGCTTTACAATTAGAGCATGAAGCATTTCTCGATCATGTACACATTAAAAATATATATTTTTAAAAGTTTGTAAATAACAGAATCTTGGAATATGTTTTACAAGAAAATGCTTTTAATTCAATGTGTTACTTGCCATTTCTTTGTAATTAGTTATGAAATCAATTGTGTGTTAACTTTAATTACTTTATCTGTTTTTATTCAGTCCATCTCTTCAGAGGCTTGGTTCCCAGTCGATAACATAATTTCCTTTCTTTTTTTCTCCAGGGAATGCAGTGGAATACTAAATGTTATAGAAAGACTGGTAAGCAACACATGGAACAGGGACTGGACCATCATATCTAACGCCATGACATGGGATCATAATGGATTTTCAAATTATTATTTAATACCAAATATCTCTTAAAAAAATCTGAGGAGAAATGTCTGTAGATACTTTTTAAAATATTTACCAAGTTTTTATTTTTAATTGGTGATTCAACAATCTGGAACGTTTTTAACAAGGTAACACTTGATTATTGGTCTTCTGGCC